TCCAGCTTGACTCGTGCCAGCGTACCGAAAGAGATATGCAGCAAATACGCATTGACTAGATGAAATACAAAGCCTTATACTTTAGCGCACTGTCGCCCAAATGCCAGTTGGAGCCATGATCGGTGCAAAAATTTTATGTCTTCCTGGAGGACCTGGGCCTACAATACGAGAACATGGACTAGCAGCACTGCGCAGCTGCTCAAGAACAGGCATGTCTCAGCTGGATAAATTACTATGCATGGTGAGGTTTTAGCATGTTCTTATTTTTTCGAACCACAGCCCATCCTTCTTGACTAAACCACATCCGCCTTATCCATCAGAAGTCAAAATACGAGGTCTTCGTGCTGCGGATGCATAGCTGCGCGATAAAGGACTCCACGATTGAAACAAAGTTCTTTATACCTGCAGCAGCTCATTCCAGGAAGCTGCCTGGACCGTAATGAAATTGGAAGCGAATCCAGTGACGACTGACGATGGTGTCCCAACTTTCACTGAGGCTCAATGTACCTCCTTTTGTAAAGCGAACAACCTAGCACTTCTCGTACGCGGGCGACAGTTGGTAAGTATTGATTGATTCATTCAAATGAAAAATGTGATTTTATTTTTAGGTCGATGAAGGATTTCTGAACTATCCGAAGGAAGCTCTGACTATCACTTCAGCAGTGGCTTATTTGGATAATTTCAGAAATTGCGCTGCTGCTGTCACTTTTCAAGGACTAAATGTATGTATAGCTGCTAGATATTGATTACCGCAACGCGAACGCATACGAAAGACTCAAAAGACCGTCTCAGAATTCTTAAATTCCCGCTTATTTTAGGCGTCTGTAGTTCGCTACCGAATGGATGAAGGAGAACCGAAATCACTGGATATTGTCAAACCAGGCATAGGAAGAAATGCAATGGCATATCCCGTCTGAGTACTATGCAGAAAAAGAAAATCTTACCTAACAAAAACAGTCTTCATAACATTCTTCTTCGTAGTCGTCTTATTTTCAAAATAAATTTTTGTAGTTGTGATAGTCATGATGTCATAGAAAGTTACGACAGCAGATCTGTAACGAAAACATATAAATTTTTACTTTTACAGCCAAACTCCGAATCTTAGTGTTTAACAACTATGACGATAAATAGCATCAACACTTGCTTCAAAAAATAATGAGTCCATCGAATAATGAGTTCATGAATTTTCAATTTTACATCCGTCATAGCTCCTTCACGAAGCGTCTGTTTTGAAATACAGCCTTACGTCAGGCGCAACGAAAAAGAAGTTATACCTATCAGAAGCTGAGAGATAGAATTTTTTAAAAGGCAAAAACGCGTGATTCTGCACCTATCGCTCTTCACGCAAAGAATTTGAAACTATTTTTCACGAGTGAGCAGAACAGCTTTTAACTTTTTTTCGCAATTTTCCAGCGGAGGACACCTATAA